CTTGACCCGCTCAACTTGCAAAGTTTTTCGATGCTGCCATCACCATTACCCGTGTCCTTGCCATTGCCATGGCATGCTTACTTCACGCTGATATATCAGCCGTCTTGGGTGTTATTTAAAATTATTACGTTTGAAATGAAGAAATATTGACGCAAGAACTCCTTCTGTCTTTGCCGAACGAATTTCATTTATTTTATGTGCCATTAACGCAATGAATTCTGTTTTCTGTTTGCGCGTGCTTTTCATATCATTATTCCAATATTTTTAAAACCAAGAAACGGAAAACGTGATACTACTAATTAGTACGATTAATCCTTGATTCCATTCGTATCTTTAATATATACTAATATACGTTATATAGAAGCATACAGTTCTTCCTCCTACTTGTACTTATTTTATACATATGTACATTTGTTAAAAGACATTTAAATTATTAAATAATTATGTGAAAATGATAATTGCTAAAGTTGCTGATTGCCTGAAACTTGAAATATAATAGCAAAGCAAAAAAGGGAATTTTAAATAAAATAGTGCACTTCATCGGCTTATCGCTGCACCGCTCCATGAATTTGATTGTTTGGTCAGCTTTTTAAATAATTGTTAAGCAAATGTTGTCATTGCCATAAACTACTTTTCGTGGATTGTATTTTCGTTTTGCGGGAGTAAAAGTTAAAAGTTCATTTCATTCTAATTAAAAAGTTGCACTTCTAATTAAAAATATAATTATACATTGGTACAACCGTACTACCCGAAGGGGAAAATTGTACATTACGTTTGAAAATAGTATGTAACATGCAGAAGGACTACCCCATAAAGCATTTTCTATACTCTTCACCAACACAATTTGTTAAGCCTTAAAAAATAAACTTTAAACGTTGAATTCATAATATTTGAACTAGTTTGCGTGAACTAGGTGTACTTAGATTATTGTTACTTAAGACCTACATTATTTATTGTGTTCTAAATTTACTTCCTCTTTCGTTATTTCCCCTTTAATTATATGTATTACATATTTCCTCTTCTGATTTTCTTCTGAACGGGACTAAATTTACTAATGTTTGTTTTCTCCGGTATCGCACTAATTGATATCAGATGCTTACAATGTGTGCCTATGGTAGTTCTTGAGTTACTCGCTTACGGCGACCCTTTTTTATTGCACTCACATATGGGTGCATTAATATTTTGTGGCTTGTTTGCCAATGTTTATAGGAGTGTATTTTCTAATCGCCTGCCCAATGGTTTTCTCTTTTTGAAAAGGGAACTGTATAGATTTATTGTGTATTTTACATTTTCTTAGATATCAATACCATATTTATATTTAACATAATCAGATAAATCGATGTAGATGAGTCTGTCCGTCAGTCCGTCTGTCTGGATGAATGCCTAGATTTTGAAAACAGCTGAGCTCACATTGACTAAAATTTGAATATAGACCCGGGTTAAGTTTATTATTTGTTAAAACTCTCCCATACGTAGAAAGTTTTATCTGGTACTGGGTATTATTCTCTCCTTTTGATGATTTGCCTTAATGAAATGCTGCAATGTAAGGTTTTCCTTTTTCCAATTTCCGAATAATCAATCAATCTTCTTGCTATTTACATTTATTTTATTCAGTCCTATGAAAATTTGTTGAACGTGCTTTTGCTTTTTCTTTGTCTCTTGTCGGCTATCTTTTTTCAGTTCTCACTGATTACTCTTTAACTCGCAGTTTATTTGTAAATTTGTTTAGTATTGAATATATTAAAAAATAAATATTTAACTTGCCCAATAATTTGAATACTTTCCGACGGTTAAACTTACCCGTCGGCCATTGAAATTACAGAAATATTTAAATTACGTTTAAAGCGGATCGAAAACTACGCCCATCATTAGCACCGCTGGCACACATGCTAATTTTCTCTAATTACATTGGACTGAGGTGGTTACTATCGGTTCAAACAAATGTGTGTATTTTCCAATTCGTAGAGCTCGCCCCCGGAGGCAGGTGGCCAACATTGCTCATACGCCATGCTGTGTGACGAAGGACCAGAGGCGATTTACCTGCTGGACTTTTGATTTATTCAGTCACGCGTTTGACTAAATGTTGTGCTCCAGCCGACAACTATTTGCATGGCTGGTTACACAATCACAGCGCATTCAACGTGTTCATTTAGTGGGCTCTCATTGCCGCAGTGAATGCGTCAATTGAGCTGCTTACTCATGCCACATTAAGTGCCAATTGAGCCACTCGATTAATACGCCGCTGGCGGATCAGGTGTTGGGCACTATAGGGACGATGAACATATTGCATGTTGCCGTTTGATTCAACTGATAGATGAGGATGTGGGAATTGTATCGATTGAAATTATGCTTTCACCTTTCGTTAGTTCTTGTTGGTTTTTCACTTCAGCGCTGTGCGATTTCTCGCACAGTTTGCACATTTGCTGCAATTTGACGTTTGAATAGTCAGCCAATTACCCAGTCGCATAAAGGAATCGATGTTTTCATATTTGATTTCGTCGCGACCACATGGCTGCATGCAATTGTCATGCTCTGCTTACTGCTGCCAATAAGTCGAGCAAGTGGCACATGGTACGTGGCAGAGTTCAGCGAAAAATCTGTTCAGTCGACTCTATGCATCATGCAAAAATTACATATAGTAATACCTAGAGTACATCGTGGTTACGTATTTGCTTTACTTTTTCTATATATACCATATATTTGTAGTTCACTAGACTATCTCCCCAATGCAATCATATTTGCGACTCTGTGCTTGTGCGCTCAATGCCAGTTTATTCAACCTTCAAAGAAGAACCATATATACGAGTATATTTGCTTATCGTCGTTACATATGCTCCAAATATTATATATATCAAATGTCAAATGGCAGTAAGCATTCATGTACATCCCATATGCCGTGGATGGTGGGTGGTGGGTTTGCAATCTGTTGCATTTTTGCTTTGTCAACTTGTCCATTTGTAAATATTTCATTTTGCCAGAGCACAATATGCCAGACATCAGCAGCTGTGCAGCATTGGCAGAGATTGGAGGAATTCCAACAGCTTTGGCAGTGAGAAAAAAGACAAGGCACAGTAAAATGTGGGAGCTGGCTTTTAAGTACTAGTACTGGGAAAAAATATGAATCTTAATTTAATAACATAACCATTTTGTATACCATTATTGGAAGCTAATGAATGTTTAAAATGTTTAAAAAGCAGAGAACAATAGGAAGTGAGATGGATAAAAAGCTCAACATCTTAAAAAGGAGAAAAACTCACTCCAATAAACATCACGAATTATCGATAAGATCAGTTGTCTGCTTTGGCAGTTACAGGACTTTAGTCATTTGGGAACATGAAATATTAATATAAGCATATTATTATGCTATGAATTCTTCAATATTTACACCAAACTGAAGCCTAATAAGTTTGAAATGGGTCAAATTATTGGCCAAGATTTTTAGCTATGATTATATTTTACATTTTCCTCGAATAAGATCTAATAGGTCTTATAAAGCGAACCAGTTCTAAAATAATTGATTGAGTAAAAAAAAATGTTTATTCACATGTAGATGCAGAACCCAAATCAATTTCTTATTTTTGAAACAAAAGAAATGGTGCCAACGTAAATGTATTTCAAATATTTTCAATGATGCATTTCAGGTGACAATATTTGTGTTCGTACTTATCAGGCGGCCCTCGTATTTGAATTTTGGAGCAAGGAAAGCAGGCCAAAAAGCAGATGGTATGTACTATACATGATGCTGATATACTTATATGTATTATATAGCCGACGCCAACAATAACTTATTGCAACAGTGCACTGACTATGCGTGTATGTGCGTGTGTGTGTTTTAAGTGTGTGCGCGCTAAAAATGTGCAGCCCTTGCTGTTTTTGTGCCCCAAGCACAATGCCAGAGGGAACACACACGCGCATCTGCAAAAAGCCATCAAATGCGTGAGTGAGTGTGCCCGTTTTTATTTTGTTTTTATTTTCGGGGACAACAACTAGACTGTCTGTCTCTGTTTTGCTCCATACTGGTTGGCTGGTGTGTTGCTCTTATTTGTTTCAATGAATTTGCGCCACACCGCAGACGAGAAAAGCATTGGCCCAGAGCTGCGACAATATAGCTACCAAAAGCGGGCAATATCTGCCATTGTTGATTGCCTGACAAATTGCCAGCAGCAGCCCACTTTGAGAATACACATGTCTATCCGTATCTATGCATAGTATTTCCGTCTGTCGGCCTGTATTTCTGTGCAACACTTAAGTGTTGTTGTGTCAAACATTGACAAGTGGCATACACGATGTCTGCGCTGTGCCCGTCGTCGAGGGTTCTTTCCATGTGTTGACAGCTCAGCACACAAAATTACGGTGTTGATTTGAATTTTATTGTTTATTTTGGGGTTGCAGGTCAGTGTTTTGGCCAGCCACTTCCTTATCTTTGATAATCGAACGTCGATAAATCACGCTTCTTGAACTCAAATTTAGTGGCCATCATAGATGCCGAAAAGATTTCGCGTAAATATTTTCCATTTATAATTTCACAAAAGCCACTCTCAGAAGTTATTTTACTTTACGTTCAAAGACAAAATTATAATTTTTGTATTGAAATATATCCAGCTTAACTTAAATACATACATATTCAACAAATTCAATACATATTCAACACTTCAGTAGAAAATTCAATTAATGTGTTCAACTGGAATCGAGTGTTCATTAATTCGAAAAAACATGTCTGGGCAGCACAGACGGTAGGTAATTGTAGATGTTATATATACATAAATATATTTGTATTTTTATTACGGATTGAGCTGCAAATTAATATACGCATACTTTCTCAAACATCATTTGAATGCAATGAATTTCCAGCAATAAATTATTTTGCAATTGTCATGAATATGAAATGTACATTGCTTACATTTTTCCGCCTGCCAATTTGCATTTGCTGACAAATGGTATTTATTCAATTTAAATCAAGATACATATGCATGTTCGTGGAGGTAGATAAATATTCTTACCGCAAGTCGCCAAGTATGATACAAATATGAGTGCCCACGTTTTCTGCACGTTGCCAAGGACACGCCCGTGCTTGATGTTCAAAATTCCACTTGATGTCGGCATGTTGTTGTTATGCTTCTTGTCGCGCAGACGAGCGTTGAATAAATGCCTAATTTATTTCTTTGGAATTCACGAATTGATATAATTTCCTGTCAATTTAAATCAATTTTTTGACATGTTTCCATCGTGTTTTCTTTGCCAATTTAATTAAACTGCTTAGAGGTTTTTATACGACATTACACTTTATGAAAAACACATTTTAATTTTTTTTTGTTAATTAATCTTTATATATTAAAAATAGCACACAAATAATTGCAACAGTATTTGTGGTTCACTAATTTTTATTTGTTTATTTATTTACGAAGCTTTTGCTTATGCCACACTATTCGCGTGCTTTAAGATTCAATTAAATTGTTGAATGGTTTATCAAAGTGTTGCTTTTTATTTAACCCTTTTTCTGCACCCACACTTACACAAAATATATAAACGGGCAACTGTCACATTGTACGAGTTTAACTGCAACTTGGCGGCACTTTTGGGTGCACGCTCGGCAGCTCACGAGGCCACATTGGCTGCCTTGCTGGTTTATATTTGGGCGACTTGCTGCACTATTTCATTTGACATGACCGCTGTGCCACACGTGCCGCACGTGGCTGCCACATGGCGCGCATATTGAATGTGTTCGTTACTTTGTCGGTTCTGTGTTGGCTCACAATTTAATTTGTTTACGATTGGCACTTTCATATTTTATGTGAATGCAAATGCGGCGGCAAGGAAAGTGATTTCCTGGTCTGGCATTCCAGATAATTAAAGGGTTAGTGTTGCACGAATTAGCATTTCTCAAGTCGCGGACGTGATGCCGCACAATTGTTGCTAAAAATAAAATACTTTTCCACTTCACGTTGCGCATACGCCGCGTTGTCCTGCGCCTCGTACTTCAACTCAAATTCACTTTCAACTCAAACTCTTTGCGGCACAAGTGGCCACTTGAGTTCAGTTACCCGGCCATGGGCTGTAACTGTATGCAATGCCTATTCAGTTTCTTTTTCTACACAGGCGCGACAACAAAACCGAGAACACACCCGTACCCGCTGTGGTCAGAAATTAACTGACTGTGTGGCGTCAAAGGATGTGGCGACCAAGCGACCGTAATACCGATTAACAACGTCGACGACGACGACGGCAACGACGACTGCGACTGAGACTGAGACGAGGGCAGCAGCAGCTGCGGCCATAAGGCGCGTCACTTCTGCTCACTCACACACACACACACGCACACACAAGCTACGCGGCTTTGCTCGCTGCTCCAGTTGTAGTTGTAGTTGTAGCTGTTCCTGTTGTTGTTGCCACTGGCATTACCAAACTTCGGCGCTTTTGTGCACACTCGGACACGGATTGTCTGTGTCTGTTTACTTAACGCTATCGCACGCGACTGCGACGGCGAGGACACGAGCGTCATAAGCAAGCTAGCCAGCCAGCCAGTGAAGCAGGCAGCAGGCCGCAGGAGCAAACAGCAAGAAGCATTCACAACATATCGGAGCGTGCGTCTCAATTTCTGCAAAGGCAGCAGAGACAGAGTAAATACTCGTGTAGTGGCCGCTCCTGCCGGCTGCTCTTTCAACTTTTATAGCAAACCTCTGGCCCGAGTTGGTCCATAGGGAAAAGGGTTAGCAAACATGTGATAGCAGTAAAGCGTCAATTGAATTGATACGAAGCTGTAACAAACATACTAATTGAAAATTCGACAAAATTGTTTACAACGAATTTATTTGATTAACATTTTTCGCAAGGCATTCTCCGATAATAAGTGTTAGTTTTTGTTGCTTTTATAAATTAAGATTTACATTTCAACTCACATTTCTGATCATACATATCATACACATACATATCTTCTACATATCTCAATAACATTCTTATAAGCTATCCTTATTTAAATTTCAGCGTTAACTCTTTATACAGATTTGGTATTATTAAAAAAATAATGAGAAAGTTAAACAATCGATAATCAGAAACCGCAGTCATTAAAAAAATAGTTCTGTAACTGAAGAAGTTTTAAGCAAATTCCGATATTTATTTATTAGTTAACATTTTATCGAGCTAACAAGTTTCTTTACATATTTATCTGCTCGGCAATACAAAAAGTACTTCTGTACTTGGAAAAGCATTGGTATATTTTATTTTTCTAATAAATTCCAAATAAATTTTCAAAATTTTAAAAAGTTTTTGTAATATTGTCGAATTTGTTTTGATTACTGTGTCGTGCTGTTTGTTACTTGTTTGGCAGCAATAATAGAAACAGCTGTTAAAATTTATAGCGAAACATTTGAAATGTTCCTTCTCTCTTTCTCACTGTGCTTGACGGATTCTGCGCAATGCGCGTGCCATAAATTGGCCCGTCGTTCGCTCTCGCTCTCTATGTTACCTCTCAGTTTTCTCTTCTAGCAAGTCAACGTCAACGCCGACGTCGAAGTTGTTTGCAGCGCCTGCAATGAACCCTTGAGCCGCTTAAATTTGGGTTATTGTGCTAAAATTAGTTAAAAGATACGTTTAGTTATTTGCTCTCTAAATTGTATATTTCTTACCTTTGCTGTTAAAACATTGTAGCAATAAATAATTTGTAGCATACTTCTCGGCTGGGTAACAAAAAGCCAAAATAATGTGTTGGATACGACATAGCTTGGTATCTCTTGTATTTTAAGGCATCGCACTGCTTTCAAAGTCACAATTTTTGTGCCAACTTTCTGCGTGGTGGGTATGTGGGAGTGTGTCTGATGCTCTCACTATCTCCCGTGACGCCAACGTCAACACGAGCCTTATTCTTCTTGACTTCGCCGGCCGCGTCGGCCTCACAATCTTGCTAAGTGGCATCAAACATACACATACACACACATACAAACACTTGTCGGCCAATGAGGCCTAGCCCGTAATCTGAGCTTTAGCTATGATTTCACGTGAAGAGCAAGCACGCGTGCCCCTCTCGAGTTCGCCATGACGGCAAATACTTGTATGCTTAAATCATATTGGCAGTTATTTCATTAACACATAAATGAATAAGACTAACTGTCTGAGTCATATGGCATATGGTATAAAAATTGCAGATAATTTATGTGGTTTTTCGTTTAAAGCCACAGCTAAGCGTTCCTACTTACATTTGGCCAAAGTTTATTTATTCTTTTCTGGCGGCATATCAAAATAAATTGCAAACAATTTCCAAGTGCGAACCCAAAACATGCACACAAGTGAAATACAAACACATAAAAAAGACGAACTTGGCAACTCTTACTTTTGTTCATTGTGTATAGTATGTGTGCATATGTGTGTTTCTGTCTGTATGGATACTTTCATTATCTAAGAACATGAAAATCACAGACAATCAGTTAGCGGAGCATAGGAAATAAACTCGTCAAGCGAGAGCTCCAAGAGCCATTGGATGAAATCGTGTGGAGTGTGCGAGTATAAGGAAGTAGGACCAAAACTTTGTCTGCTGACGTCGCTGCTTCCGTCGTTTTACGAGTTTGCAGTCAATGGTGCGTCATTATTTTCATTTATTGGCGCAATCAGTCAACGTTTTATTTCCGGAATGTAATTAGGTAAGCTGCCAAACACACAAACCAACACACTACAACGAGCGACATGCATGTGGTGTGCCAACATGAAATTGTGCCGGAAATACGCAGACAGTGCTCCTAATGCAGGGGGCATGGAGACTGCAGACAGTATCAGACAAAAGAGAGTGAGGGAGATCGGAGATGGAAGGGAACGAACAAACGCACGCATAAACATACTGTATACGCCAAAACAAACAGCCTTGGGCCACACACATTGACACAGCCCCCACATATGTTTGGCATTGCTGCAAAGTATTTTTTACGAGCGAATGCTAATGCCTGTTATGACATACATATAAAGCTATCCACCTAAGCACATACGCGCGCACACACACACACACACATACTGACACAGCACGCACAGACTCATAAACGCAGACAGGCACTTGCATGGCGTTGGCGAAGTGTGCACTTGTCTGAACTCAAGCATGTTTATTTGTCTGCCAGTTAGCTTGCTAATGCGTATTTGTGTATATGTGTATGATGGTGTGTCTATGTTGAGATATACACGTATGTGTATATGTGTGTTTCGAAGATTTGTGTTGCTTGTTGGGCTGGTACATGGCCAAGGCATTGCTTTCCGATTTTCGGCTTATATGCATTTGAGGTTTTACTGTCCAATAGTCTACAAAGCGCTCGCTTTCGCTTTCATACACATTTAATTGCTTATGCCAGAACAATGATTTGGCCCATTTCCGAGGATAAGAATAGGCTATGAAAATCAATAGCGAATTTTATAGCTTTTCCTTGGTCCTTTCACTTTACACTGGCAAAGTAAATTTGGCATAAAATAGCATTTAATAAAGTTATGGAGCTTAAATAAATAGCAAGTTATATCTATAAGATTAGAATTATATTTATGAAGTATTTTAGGAACTGAACTCAACACATTATTTCGCCGTGAATGGAATAATAATAAATTGCAAAATTATGGTAAGATAGTAATTATTTATAAAAATGATGAATCGATTAATAAATCAACTAGTTCTAAATTTTAAATATAATCAAAAATTAAAATACAGTCTGAGCGTCTTGTACCAGCACTTGTGAGTACGGGTATCTATTGAAAACCTTTAATTTGCAAATTGCGAGCTCGTGATATAGCCCAAAAAAATTACCTACCGCACCAACACGAAAGTTAAATAACACAAAATACGAGTTCGCAGTTCGAGTTCGATAGCAGTATAAAATGAATTGGAAATGATGTCTGGCAAGTCCTTGATGTTTATTGCAGCCAACAAGTACTGAACAAAAATATACTTAGCTAGAAAAACATTGGTCCAAAATAGGAGTGAAAAGCGTAATAAAGCGCGACGAGAGCAGCGACAAGTGGTGGAGGGATAACGAGGTAAAAGCAACAATCCCAATATATCGAAATTCGAATTTTGTTGAGTCAGTCAAATATTCTACTTACCTTTCGTATGAAATTTCTGAAAAACAAGCGAAGATGAATTGGTGCGAGAGCCCGACGTTGTTGGCAGCATTCATTCCTAGTGCTCTCGTCTACC